AAAGTTTATTTCAGTAGTTTATGGCTAGCTGTTAAAAACAGGAAAATTTTGATTTTATCTTCCCTTTAAAAACAAGTTAATCATTCCGTGAAAAATTTTGTCAGGGATCTAAAACTTTGTAATACAGGAAAAGTTTACTTAAATTTCTAAAGTTTATTTCAGTAGTTTATGGCTAGCTGTTAAAAACAGGAAAATTTTGATTTTATCTTCCCTTTAAAAACAAGTTAATCATTCCGTGAAAAGTTTTGCCAGGGATCTAAAACTTTGTAATACAGAAAAATAATAATTAAATTTCTAAAGTTTATTTCAGTAGTTTATGGCTAGCTGTTAAAAACAGGAAAATTTTGATTTTATCTTTCCTTTAAAAACAAGTTAATAATTAGTTACGGTTCTTAAAATGGGTAATGTCTGTTTATGTAAAAAAAAACTTTCTGCTGTAGCTGATATTTGTGAGCAGAGGAACCAGTTTTTTAGTTTGACAATAATGTGAATTGATTATTGTAGGTATACATTCAGACATATGTGTAATGAGTAAAAAATCTGAAAGATCATAAGCATAATACTTATGTTATTAACATACATAAATATTTTATAATTTTGTTACATCTGTACAAAAAGTATGATAATTCCTGTAAAAAACACAATAAAACTTTAGCACTTTCCACAAATAGACCTGTCAAAAGTACTAGGATTTTATTGTATGTTTTAATTCTAATGTTATTAGACTTTCTGAACCCAAGTATTTGTTATCTGTATTTACAAAAAAATATTTTATTATAAATGCACCAAAACGTAGCTTGTTTTCATGCAACCAAATTAATTAATGACTGTGAATTGATATTCCATTCATATCAAACTTGATTTTTAATTAATAATTGTTCTGTCTAGCAATAGTTAAATTCCATTACTATTGATTGTTCTTATATTTACATTAAATTTTTGTTGTGTTTGATAACACACAATTTCGTGCATTGTAGAGGAAAATTGTGTGTGAAAAGGTTAAGAGTAAACATTTAGTGAGAATTTCCTGAAACGATAATGTATACCTATGTTGATTTATTTTAATTACTTCTTCTATCTTGTCAAGTTGCACATGTTTTTGCTTTATTTTTTTTAATGGAAGTTTTAAGTTTTTTATTATTAGAAATTTTTGCAAATAATTCTCCTAGTTAGTTTTGAAAAAAGTTTTTAAATTTGGCAATACTGGTAAGTTTGAGCTTATTTAATCTTGGAGGTAGTGTTACATATAAGGATTTATTACTAAACTTCTGAAGATTAAGAAATAGTTTTTTAAAACTCTGAAATTCTTTCAATAACTTGAGACAGCACTTGACACTTGTTTAAGTATGAAACCCAAACTAAATCAATGAATTAAAAAACAGAAATTCATAAATTTAAAAACTTAACACAATTTGTAAAAGTATGTGAAGTATTTGAGATATAAGGTAGTGTTGAAAATGTCAGATTTCACTTAAGTTGTGACTTGTATTTAACAAATAAAAATATTGTGCATTTATACCCAAGTTATTTATATATTATTATAATTAACGGTTAGGCTTACTTAATACGTGAATAGGGTGGAGTAGTTGGTTAACGTATGTGTATAATTTGACACTATCGGTATATCCTCAAATTGGCAGGGTAATGTAATGAATGAAATAAGACATTCCATAATTTTACTTAATTAAAATGATCATAATGCTGTTTGCTCATGGTTCACTCGGTGGTGATTAAGCGTGTAGCAAGGAAAATGATTTAACCTTTCCATAGAAGTGAATGATCTCCAATTGTTGTTCTTTAAAAAACTCAGTTTGAGGATTGTTGATAAGTTTATATACAAAGTGATGTTTATCCTTGTTTAGAGGAACTTTTTTAAATCTGTTATTTAATTATTTGAATACAGTATTATTATTATTAAATTTTTTTCTTTAAGAAGAAATGACGCATTAAGTTATTCTTTTTACTCAGGCTGTTCCATATTCTTATTCATGATATTATCAGGACTAATATTATTTCTCTCTGTAGATATATATAATATGAGACATGAATTAGTTCTTTACAAGAATAAGTAAATATTCTACAAATGTTTGATCTTGACATGCCCGAGAAACACGACTGGTTTTCTTACCTATCTTGTATTCTTAAAAACACAATCTAATAATATATATACTTAAATATCAGTGGTTGTGATACGTTTAAGAATACTCGTTCAGATGTGATAGCTTCAGGGTATACTTTGTTCACTGTACAGCAGAAACTTTGTATTTAGGAGCATATATATATTGACTTGCCTTGGTAACTGTATTTTTTTTTATTTTACATGACATTATTATTATGTAAAAGGTGATTGAGTAGAATGTGTTCAAAGTAGCTTGTATTTGTATTAAAATTTAGCAGCTTTTTATGTATAATCACAAATTTTCAAATCCAGAGCATTATGATAAATAAAATCAAGTTATCCAGGTTTCTGTGAAGTGCGAGTTTATTTGAAACACTGAAATAATACAAAAAAAAGTTTTGGGTTACAACTATGGAATCAATGATGTTATTTAGTTGGTAAAAACAAAAATTTTTTAGTTATGATTGAAGTGAAAAACATTCAAAACCAAATTTGCACGTAATTCGTTTTTAACGCAATGCCATACAAAAGTCTGAATATTTAAACTACAGGCCTTCATTTTCAGTTTATAATTTTTATAATACATCTTCTCATACCTGTGAATGTTTCTCAAGAAACAGTTTTGCAACAAAATATAAAAATTCGATCTTTAGCTTACCTTTGTGGTGACTGTTTTGACCAACACATTTGTTATTAATTTATCTTGACAGCAAAATATAAAACTTCAAAGTATCAACCAATCAAAATTCATTTCAGTGTTATCTTTTTCTACTGAAATGTTTGACCAATATGTGTAATCCTAGTGTTAGCTTCCACTTTGTGATACATGAAGTTTTATGTAAAGTTTAATAATTTTATTTGCAATTGAGTCTAAAACCCGATATACCTGATGATCAAATAACTTTAAAAAAACCGAAACAGAACAGTAAAGTTATTTCAATGGTTTATTTTGTTACATGTATTTAACAACAACAGATATTTAAGATGAGTGAATGAGATTACTTGCAACAACAACATATTCCGTTCACAAGCGCTACTATGAAAGATACAGAGTAATATTAGATACACCTACTAGCGAGTGTGAGAAAATACATCGTACTATTACTAAACTTCCTAATGTAAAATATACTTTTCTGTCATACTTTTTAGAATGCTCTTTTCAATATCTGTATCATTTTCAAAAATCTTTTGTAATTGTTAAAGGGCAGACAATTGTTCATCGCAAATTCAGGAAAATACAACTTTGATTTTTTTAAAAATTAATGACATTTTGCAAATTGGCCCCTATATAAAATTAGTATTTCTTTTAACACCAGAGTTTCAACCCCTTACAACTAGGGTCAATTTGCTAATAAATATCCAATTATAAGTTTTTGTTATGCTTCACATTGGAAAGTTTTTTTTTTCACAAGCTATGAAAAGTGGTTGAACTCTTTCTTTTTGAGCTTTAACTTGCTGGTCATCTAGATTAGTGGTAAATATTCACACATTTTTTTTTTTTTATGAGAACAAGAACACAGGAAATACAAGTATTGATTTAAAAAAAAAGAATAAACACACCAAGATACCACAAACAGATATTAACTATTGTTAACGTAACATTATATAGTAAGCAACACAAGCAATAACTATTATACTCAATAGGCATATATAAAGCAGCTAAGTTTCCAACTTTATTGCCCATTTTGTCTTGGTTAAAATTACAGACATAAAACTTCACACTTTTTACTATGAACATTTACTAAACTGCCAGTCATACTTGCAAGTAAAATAAAAAACAGTTCTGGTGAGATTCATTTCTGTAATCCATTTGTAGTGATTGTCACAATTAGGAATTTCTTAAAACAATTACATCAACAGAAAAGCTATGAATTTTTTCACATGAACATAAACTTTAGGACATATTTACCATTTTTGTTTTGTTTTTTTAAGTTTGGGTTTTCTTTCCTTAGCATCATTCAGCACCCACATTCATGAAAAGAACTTTTTAGTATGACTTTTATAAATTAATCTTAGTCCTATCTAACTAGTTATTTACAATTAAATGTCTTAATTGAACTTTAACCTCTTTAACAAAAAAAAAAAAAAAGTTAAATTCGGTTAATTTGAAGCCATCCACGATGAAAGCTCAAGTCTTATTAGCTAACAATGTTAATTAAAAAGTTTTTGAATGTCACTTTTGAAAAACTGTCAAGAGATTTCGTGCAACACTATCTAAGTGGTGGTACTCACAACAGTAAGTCTGTACAAGTTGTGAAAACACTTTATTAAAGAGCACAAAAACAGCCCAGATAGGCCTATTTTACACTCACTAATTTGGGCTAGAAAAATTCTTACAATCGTTTTTAAAACTAAACATTGTGATCATCACGTGTCTTTATTTATAGCATGATGGTAAATGGCCTAATACAATAAACTCACTGTATACAATTCAACTGATTAAAGCAGTGGTTTTCAAGCTGTGTTCCGTGGAACTCTTAAGGTTCCAGGAATGGTCATCAGGAGTTTACCACAAAAATAACTGGTAATGGTGTTTTTTTCAGTTAGTGTTAACTTATCAGTGACCAAATTTAATTTCAAAAATCACGAGTCAGTTGATATTCAGTCTACTCCAGACAGTTACATTAACACCAAAATTTGATCACTTTCATCTAGGTTTTAAGGGTTGGGGTTCCATGATGGAAGGATTGAAATGGCTTTGTTTAAGACCACTGGATTAAAGGAACGAAATATGGAACTGTTCTATAATGTGCATTAAACTGTGGTAGTAAGAACAGTTTAACAGTACTGATATATGTAAAAGTATCACAGTAAAAAAAGGTATCTTTTAATTTTATGCATTAATTAGTTTACTGACCAGTGATATTTCAAATCTGTGACACAAGAAATATTTTATAATCACAATTCACCTATCCCTGAATACTGAGAATAAAGGACTTGTTTCGATTACTCGAGTCAAAGACAAGAGGACCTAACGTATTTCCCAATTGCACAACTTCCTCATATTAACTAAATAATTAATTTCCAAGAGGTATCAGTTTAAACAAAACCTTGGACTAAAACAACAATAATAAAAACATACAACAATGAATAATGGTAGGACTACTAAATAAAATAAGAGCAGGATACAGGCCTTACATTACACAAATCCTTGGTCTGAGAATTGGTACTCCAATATGTCATCCTCAACTGAGAGACATGAAAAAACAAGAGAGAAAGCCACGGTTCAATAGTGTTATACAATAATTTAACTTGCGTTACTGCGTCCTCACAAATGTAATTTGTCATTGAGTCTTTGTTTTAGCAGATACATCAAACACAGCACAAAAAATTTCCAAATTTTTATACAAATGTACACAAAAAGACCAGAAAATAATTTCCTTTTTTTTTTTGGCTTAAGTTTCAGTGTAATTCTAAGAAAGCAACAGCTGGAAAAACATCATTAGCAGATGAAACTTTATTCTAGCTAATATATCATTAGCACCTTACCTAACACAGCCACAGAAGCATTAGTCAATTACACTTCAAGAATTTTAATTGGTTACTTACATTTTGTGCCAAGAAAATGTACCAAAAACACTAATACGTTGATTTAAACAAAAGCACTGGTATCGAGCAAAGTAAACTAAGTTTAAAACGTCTAGTTACAATATTAGCTACATTGAAAACCTCCTCAACCTTATTAATATAAGAGATACAGTTTATGTTCTTGTACAAAATATTCTAGCAAACACGTTTTTAAAATCCAAACTATGATCATAGTTGTTTGTTACTTTCAGAAAGGGAAACCGTTACACACGTGTAAGTTTTGAGTGATGGTGACCTTAAATTTGCATAAATCTTGCAGTTGAAAATATTTGTTTCAGTGAGAGCAACCAACTGAAAAGGAGTTAAAGGAATCTAATCATTTTAAGTTCTAGTTTTCTGGTGTGTTGGTTTATAAAATCATTTCTCATTAGTTTGTTACACACAACTGTCTTTTCTTGTTGCATTTATTTTAAATTAATGTAGTTTTCACCTCTACAGAAGCCTACTTCTGATGAAAGTCGTTAATAACCACACAGAAGAGGTTAATTTAGGTCCTTCTCTCCAGGTCTAACATCATCTTTTTACGGCTTTTACATTTTGAACGTCAGAAATGTTTGCGTACTTTTGTCTACATAATTTAAACTAACTTGAGAATTAGTTATGTCTAAATGAAAAACTTAAACAGTAAAATAACAACTTTCTGAATGATAGTATTTTTTATGCTGAAATAAAACAAATGCTTTTAAAATCATAGCATACATTAATTATAAGAATCAGAATGAAAAATTTTTCTTCCATTTTCAGTTAACTAAAGCACAAAAATGCTTTGAAAGTTTTTCACTATCAAGGTTTGGAAACAGGATTCTAACTGAAGATAAAACAACAGTTACATATATGTATGTTATACATGCACATACAATTTTCTTAACATATTTATCTGGGCTGGCACAAGATTCCTCAAGCAAACCAAGTGTGATGCATGAGAATTTTGTAAAAAGCAATCAAAGCGTGTTCCTAAAATTCTCACAAACTAGTTCATTTGTCAAACCAAATGATCTACTGAACCATTTTAGATAGTATTTCTAGCAGTGAGGATAACACCACAAATATTTTACAAAAACAAAGTCAGTGAAACAAGAGGCTGCTCAGAATTAAAGCCTGAAAACAGTGACTTGTTGGGAGGTTACGTTACCGATATTATAGGTAAAAAAAAGAACCCATTTGAAACACATCACAGTGTATGTGTATATACAGCACAAAAACAATGGTATTACACCTATAAGGAAAAAAAATACTGCTTGAAGATTCTAATAAAAAAAGAGGGATGGGGCTGATGTACAAGTCACTAGTGGTATGGTTCTCTTCATTTCTCAAATCCCATTTAAACCAGGTTCTCTTTAAATCCATAAACAGATCTAATAATACATTTTAAATCTGAATGTGAAATATACTTAACTACAGAAGGACATTTACGTGAAATTATAAAACGAACGTAAGACTGTCCATTAACGTAACACATTAGGCTTACAGACAAAGAGAGAGAGACCAGTCCAAGAATATATGAACAACAAAATAAAATATCTTTGTCTCCAACTCCTCCAGTCTGATAACATGTTACCTAAGGTCAGTGCCCATGAATATCGAAATCCAAGTTTGTCGTTAACTTCATAGCAGAAGACTATTTATTACAAAAAAATTTAGTAAATCTTTAGATGTCTTCTTCATGTCAAATTCAAGCTACCTATACTATAGAAATTTTATTATTTTACAATTTAATTGTAGTGTAATCTTGTTGTAAATGGTAACTTTTGAAGGTAACAAATGGTTTTTTCTTTACAAAAATGGCAAAAAATTTTTTTTTCAACAGAAAATATTTTTCATGGTCTTTACAAAGAGGAATACGGTACTGAGCATACTTGTCCTAAAATAGTTAAAATCTCGTAAAACATCCAATATTCAAGATATGTAAACTTAAACACATTCAGTGATTTTTTTTGCAAAAAACAGAGGACAAATATCAACACTGAAAGATAACCCTCACTGACAAAATTTTGCACGTAATTTCTTTTTCAACTGATGACAAGAATTAAAATGAAATAAGTGATGTCAATAAAACCCACACTTAACCAGAAATTATCAAAAGTACAAAAAAAATTAAAACTAAACCATGGTTTCTACAAAAAGTCAATGGCACTACAATCTTTATGTTCAAAACAAATGACTATGTAGTTATAAAAAAAACAACAACAACAGACTATACATATATATATGTACACATACACAGACTCAGTCATGCAATGCAGATCATTATATCTGTCCAGCTAAAATAGCACCAATATGTTATAACAATGTACTTGTGACAAGCCTCGTATGTGAAAAAAACAAAACAAAAAAAAACTTGAAACCCCAAATGCACAATACAAACATGCGGTAGTTAAAAAAAAAAAGACCTTGCTAATTCGTTCAATTCCAGTACAGCATCACATCACATCAACAAAATATTCACATGGACTGGCCATATCTCTGCCAAAGGACTTTCTGCCACCAGCAAGCTCTGCAGGGACGGCTTCAAGGCAAGCAACATTTTGAGATGTTTGAGTATTGAGACTAGGTTCACTTCCACTGCTTCCACCACCTTCACTGCCCACTGCTTTGCCTAGCCGCCCACCACTTCTCTGACTAGCTACCTCAGAATCGCTTCCTCCAGGACTGCCACTTTTTCTACTTTTATCCTTGGCTCCTCCATTGCTGCTGCCACCTACACAAATTATTTACATTTTTTTATTTAAAGCAAATTTTATAATGGTTGTGAACAGTCTTACCTTCTGTTAAATTTTTTAACATACAAGTTACAATATTTAGAACATTTACAGATCATAAAATGAACATGTTTGCTCACCACCTAAACAGTTTTAAAATCTTTTACATTTCATAGTTCAAAAGCAGACATATAACTACTTAAAACTTTACAAAACTATGTTACTACTTGTGTCACCACTGGTGCTTCCTTTACAGAACTATTAACAACTTTACAAGTTTTTGTAGTATAAAAATACAACTGCTGTATACCTGAACCACTTTTAATGCTCCCCTCCTGAATCAGGTTGGTATAAACAGGAGTCTCCGTGTTGTAGTTGAATGGCATTGGAATAAAACCAGTGGTCTGGGGAACATAACTACCAGAATAAGGCATCTGTGTGCCCCAAGAAGCCTGAACTGTGGGAGGAGGAAGTGGTCCCAGGGTATCTCGATCTGCCTCACTTACAGAATCATCTCTATTGATTTTTAAGCCTGCCATGTCTAGAATTACATAAAACAATAAAAGAATTAGTGATAAATAATTAAATGACAAAGTTCTATAAAGGATTGAAAGATATTCTGCAAGCACTAAAAAATGTTAAATACAGGAGCAATTTAATTTAATTAGTGTATATGAGTTGTTACACATTTAGTTTTTTTTTTTTTTTGGCTAAACTAAATTAATAATTACTTGTCAATTAATTAATAATAATTACTTGCCAAGTCAAACAGATAGTTACAAAATCAGCATCTGCTGAAGAAAAAGAAATAATAAAAGGTTTTTTCTTGTGAATAAAAGATTATTAACTCTTTCCATACAGTGTCAGTCGATGTGACCCCAAATCAACCACCAGTTTCCGTAAACAAAGATTTAAAGCTATAAAAATTAGACTTTGCCTTAGTACTCCCTATATTATAATAAGTAATTTATGTTAAATGTCTTTTCAATGGCTTTTTTATTTGGAATGTCTCAAATTATGTTTACAAGAGCTTCTACATGTTGTACTTTGACCATCCAAACCAAGGCAAGTCTACATTCTCACACTTGTTTCTCTTATATAGCTTTAAGTTGAGATATTTAACCTAGGTTGCGATACGTGCTGAAGTTTTAATAATTGTTGTAGAGGTTTCTTTTGAGATAAAGGAATACAAACTTATGTAATATAAATCTTTGAATGATAATAATAATTTCATTAAAATACATTTAGAGTAAAGTAGTTTAATTAAATTTTGAATGTAACTCAGTAACATGCACAGAGATAGGTTTAAAAATGGCATCGTTCTCATAGGATTAAAGCAACTGTGCTTTTTCTATCTGCATAATTTGATTCAACTTAGATAAAATCTTGTTAACTTCAAGGAATCACATAAACTTACTACTACACAAATTTCCAAAGACGTAGTAGCACTGTTCAGAAAAGGTGATTTTGTTCACTGTATGACGAATGTAGCCAGTTTTCAACATCTGAGTGGCATACTTGCGTGCTTCCCGTCTGTCTTGAAATCCCTGTACATGCGTAAACAGCCAGTCAACTACATCAGCACCTATAACAGAAAAAAATTCCAAAAATATAAAATCATACGAGATCTAACAGACACATGGGCCTAACTTTCAAAATTACTTAAATTTATATTGTACAGTGTTTTCCTAGCTTTAGAAATATTAACTTATAATCCCCTACTTTTTGGAAAGACAGAGTATAAGGATTTTATTAACAAGTTAACAAGGAATTTGAGTCTGACTCAGTTGTATTTTGGATTGATTCAACAAAAAGACACTACTCCTAGAGGAAGAGTATATTTTCTGATTAATTCTATTACAAGTTTACCGTTACTACTGTTAGACATGTCAGTGCTATAGTGTCATTTGTGCTAGGCCAGAAAGATACGTAACCAAGTTAATTTTACATGCACATACCTGAATGAAACATTCAAATTAATAATTAAGTACAGTGCTCACAGACCTATACTTATATTCAAAATATATTTGAAGACATCGGTAATAGTTATTTACTTAAAAAAGTACAGTTATATGTCATGATAGAGAAAATACCAGAGTGAAAAAAAGCTCATAAGATCTCAAAATAAAATAAAAATTCCTAGCTAAGTTTTATATTTTCTACAAAAATAAAAAACTTTTTAACTTTTGTAGAAATTAAAGTGGTCATAGAATTCTTACTTCTCATTAAAGCGTGCTCTTTCAATATAAACAATATTTGATTTAAATAAAGACATACCAATAAAGGCTTTAGGTATTGTTATTTTCAGCCACATGCGGTCTCTGACATCCAGTCCAGAGTCTGGAGCTGCCATGACTTTTACAACAGTTGCCATGTCAGTGTCCGTTGTTAGTGGAGTGTCATGAAACTGACCTAAACATAAACAATATTGGTTTGAACAAAACCATATTTTATAGTCCAGCTTAATAGTATCAAATTTTATATTGTGAATGTCCAAAAGTCACCTCTAATATCTGCAACATAACACATTCTAAATGACTGAACAAGAAAGAATTTGTTTAAAGAAAACAGAATTGTAAGCTTTATTTGACAAAATATTCAATGTGCAATAAAGAAATACACTTGAGAATTTTGTTACTTAAAGAACACTAAGCATTTTCTATAAAACAATAAAAATATACAATGTGAAATAAAGAAATAAACTTGAGCATTTTGTTACTTAAAGAACACTAAGCATTCTCTATAAAACAATAAAAATATACAATGTGCAATAAAGAAATAAACTTGAGCATTTTGTTACTTAAAGAACATTAAGCATTCTCTATAAAACAATAAAAATATTC